GGGCCTTTGTAATTGGAATAGGGTTTTGGGGGCTCCTTATTCTATTTAGAGTACAATCTACCCCAAACCCTACTCTAATTATCAAGGCCTCTATATTAGGGTTTCGAGTTTAGGGTTTAGGGACTTTCGCAGATTTTACAAAGGGGTTGCAAGTATACTCCCGGCTGAGTGAAGGGGGGCTGTAGGTAGTACGGAGTAGTCTTAGTTAGGTGTGCCAAATACGCACACACACACACACACACATCTGCGGCAAGGCCAAACGAAGCCTACAACCAACCCTGCGTCCTGAAAGCCGGAATCCCCGGAAGCGAAAAGGCATGAAGCAAGTAAACATTTAAGAAACTGCAAAGACGAAAAATTCCAAACGGCCTAAACCCTGCGACACGGTGATACAGAGCCTTGAATAATTGCCAACAGAATCCCCAAAAAATACTATAGTATGATACACTCCCAAACCCTCTTCTAATTGTTATACCAAACCTCACAAAACCATATGGGTGGTTGTCAAAATCATGGTCCCTTTTTGGGTCCTTATTACAATACGGCACCTATTATTTAGGGTACCCCAAAAAGGGACCCTAATTTAGAGAACTACCCAAAAACAAACCCCTATCCGACCTGGAGGGTCCTTATGAACACACTATTCGCATTCCCAGACCCCCGGGAGGATCTAGAAAGTAGAACCCCTAATTTGGGCCATACTACTAAGGGCTCTTAAAAGGAACCCCCATTAAGGGATCTACTTTTTGGATCCTCTCGGGGGTCTGGGTTATTAAGGCCCTTGCAATACACTCTGAGAGAACAATGAGGCTCCTTATCCTGGCGAAGTCATTCGGACTGGTCCGGGCCCCAGCTTGAATGCAGGGTCTTACTGGGCTATTGAGTTTAGGGTTTAGGTGTTTACGGTTTTGGCTTTAGGAGGTTAAGAGTGTTAAGTTGTCATAACATGGAAATCCCAGTATCATCTTACTATAAATCCCCTATTGTGGTAGCTTAAGTTAAGTTCTTGCACAAAAGCCCAGATCAGAATTTAGGGTGTAGGACGCCCAACAACCCAGCACTTGAGGGTTTTATGGTTTAGATTGCAAGCTGTTCAAGGCGCTTCACAAAGGCTTTCCTGGGCCTCCTAGGACTTACGCCTTTTAGTTCCGTTTCGGGCTTGGGCGGTTTAGGGTTTGCACAGAGTGTTTCCGGAATTTGGGTGTAGGGGGTCGGGCTTGCGCTTCGAAACGCAGTCTTAAGGGTTTGGACCTGGGGTAGAACATGGAAGAAGACTTGAAGAACTACCCATCGATACTACCATACACTATTACCTTAAGGACCCTAAACTATGGGACTTATGGTATACTGCTTATTATGGGTAATGCAGGATTTACATCATCAACCGTACCATCAAGTGGTCCTCCAAAGGATCCTTTGCGGGTTTTACAAGAGTTTTGTGAAGCGTGTTTGTTCGTTACCGCAAGACACAGCCCTCGTTGTACGAGCCTTTTGCCAGGAGCCTGCACGACATCGCTAGCCTTGGACGCAAACCCCTGTAAAACCGAAGACCATAGATTGCAGCCCTCTAACAACTAAACTAAACTTGACGAACACATAAACCCCTAAACCCCTAAGCCCGCCCTCAAAAAAAGCATGCGTGTGCGTGTGTGTGTGTGTGTATGTGTGTGTATGTATATATATATATAATGTGTATATATATATATATAATGTGTGTGTATATATATACACATGTGCAACTCATAATGGGGAGACGGCTCGCACGTTTTCCGCTCCCGAAAGCCTGGAGGCTCTAGAGATTAGGGCTAGCCGAAAACTTAGGTAGACCCCACAAGACCCAAAACCCCAAACCCCAAACCCCAAAAAAGTGTGGCTCAAATGATTGCCAATACTATTTTGGGGGTTCTTTATTATCATTATAGTCGAATTAATGGGCCCAAAACCCTATTCTACTTATTATGGCCCTTATAGTATTTTGAGCCTACGCGGAAGGCTTTAAGCCCTGCAACCAAACAGCCCTAAAGCGGACTAACTAGCCTCGGAAACCCTAAGTGATAGACATGGTGCGGGGGACTATTTATAAGTATAGTATACTGGGCCCCAAAACCCTATTATTTTTCTAACTGTTAAGGCCCCTATTTAGTAGTAGTTTAGAGCTGAGCTCGTCTCTCAAGCTCTGCATTTTAGGGTTTAGGGCTGTGCTTTTGAATCTCTGGATCCCAATGCCACAAGACATTTAATGCAGGGGCACCTCTACTATTTTCGGGAGCGTTCCTGATTATAGTTATAGTATAACAGACCCCAAAACCCTATTCTAATTATCAAGGCCCCTACACCCTAAACCCTTATAGTAGCCCTTTATAGAACCCTTTAAGGAACCCTTGCAAGGAACCCCCCAAAACCCTACTCTAAATAGAACCATCACAGTAGCTGGTTAGTCTTCCGCGAGGGTCTGGGGTTTAGAGGAACTTGCAGGCTGTAGTTTAGGGTTTCAGGATTTAGGGTTTCAGGGTTTGGGGTTTCAGGGCTTAGGGGTTTAGGATGTCAGGGTTTAGGGGTTTAGGTTTCAGGGTTTAGGGGTTTGGGATTTAGGGTGTAGGTAGGGAAGGGATGTGGGATTTGGGGTTTAAGGGTTTGGGGTTTAGGGAGGGAGGGAGTGTGGGGTTTAGGGTTTAAGGGTTCAGGGTTTGGGCTGAGACTGAGGGTTTTTGGGGTCGATGGGCTTTGGTTTTCGGGTTCAGGGTTTAGGGGTTTGGGGTCATAGGGTATAGGTGTGGGGTTTAGGTCTTGTGTCTTTCTAAGTTGGGTTGACGCCTGCCTGAGTCGCGCCCAACTAATTACAGAGCTTTGGTTGTTGTCGTCTTGGGTTGAGGGGTTTTGAGGGTCTAAGGTTCAGGCTGAGGGCATCGGACTTCGGCTTCAGGGTGGTAAAAGCATCTATATGGAGTCTTATGGCATGCTCTATGTTCCGCACCCACTGGCTTGTGAATGGAGAGACGTGCTTGGCGACCTAACATTCCCTATTCATCATTCGTTCACGCTTGGGGCTCAAGGGTTGCGCCACAAATCGCAAACGCTAAAGTCACTAAATCCGAACCCTGATCCATGATAACCGACACCTCGAAGACATGCACCTACAGTATTTCTAACAGACGGTTCCTGATCATCGTAATTAAGTATACTACACTATTCCAACAAGACCCTGTTCTAATTGTTAAGGCTCCTACGTAGTGTTCGGGACTGATTCAATGTATGGGAAGCGTTCTGACACGTGAAAGTTTGAAAGGCAAATGGCGGAGTGTGAGCAATGTATTCTGTTGGTTTTGAACCTGGCCGAGACTGTGGCGGTTTTGGACCGAGACCGAATTGTAAATCGGTTGCGGTACTTGTGCGCTTGGCGCACTTTGCTGCCCTTCCGCAGCGATCCGACTTTGAACAATGCGTACAACTGCTGAGGATTCCGGCTGCATCCACTCGGGACTAGGTGCTTAGGTCATCGTCTTCATCATCACTCAGAACACAAACGGGTGCCTGGTTCGAAGGCTTGCCCTCGCCTTCGCTGCAACACTGCTTCAGCACGGAGGAACATCAGACAAGGCTCCATGCTCGGCAAGTCTCTCGCGGGCGAACCTCACGAGTGTCTCATCCACGTACTTCCACTGATGGCCCTCGTTTCGCCGTATACGGGGCGGTACGGGGCGCAGTACGCGGCGGCACGGCGGTACAAAATTTGCTCGCAACTAGACTGGTATAGAGGGGCCCAGCTTTTCAATTACACATGAAACAATGCAAACCCTACGAAACTTGTCCTCTCTTAAATCGCGTACAATGAAGTCCTAAACATCCCCAAACACCGAACCCTGAACCATCACCCCTTAACCCTAAACCCTATACGCCCCACATGCTTAGACCTGCAACCTTACTGCACAAGCCGCGCACGTAATCCCAGTTTCCGCTGCAAACGCACCTTGGGCGGGCCAATCGGTTGGTAGTGGGCGGGCCAATCGGTTGGTAGGCCCCGGCCCTAAACCCTAAACCCTAAACCCCTAAACCCTAAACCTTTAAACTCTAAAACCATCCTAAACTCTCAAGGGTTGCGGGTTGAAGGCTCAGGGCTGAGGCTTTAGGCCTTCAGGCTTCAGGGGCTTGGGGATTAGATCCTGATCGAAGTCTTGCTTAGGGTGTAGGGTGTAGGGCTTTGGGCTTTGGGCTTAGGGTTTAGGGGTTTAGGGTTTAGGGTTTAGGGTTTAGCGTTTAGGGGTTTAGGGGTCCAGCTTCGGTGTCCGTTGTCATCTGTTACCCGAAAGAGTCAGAGGTCATGGTTCTGAGCAGGAGTCTGGGCTCACCTATCCCTAAGGGTCCATGTACCTAAATAGCATATATTACATTGGCCTAAAGTACTTATATAGGGACTACATTAAGGCCAAAGTATACACTATTTGGGTACATGGATCCTTAGGGTATACCAGCTAGAACTTAAGTTGCGTAGCATCCGGCTGCAAAGCTCCATGTAATTCCAGGGACCGCCAATCAACAGAAAACATGTGCGATTCTTGTGGGTGAAGGTGCCCCCGTTATCAAGGCTGTAAAGCTAAACCTCACCCCACGCTGTAAATCGACTTCAAGGTGACTCAAATGGGGCTCGAAGTAGCCATAGCTGCAATCATCTTAGTCCTACTTGGAGCCCCAACACCTACTTTGGGTTCCTTCCTAGACCCTAAACCCTAAACCCTGGACCGTTCCTTAAAGCTCTACGAGCTTTCCCTTGATCCTGTACGTACACCCTGCATTTAGGGTTTAGGGCGAACTTGTCTAGGACCCTAGAATTCTCTTCTTCTGATTGATCAAGTGCGGCTGGAAGCAATACGTACAAAAGCGCAGTGGTCGTGTTCATACGTTCGAAGGTTCCGGGTCTAAACTCACGCAAGCGCTAGAACGTCAAAACCCGAATGACCCAAAACCATGAACGTACTAAGCCCTAAACCCAAGTAAACCCTAAACCTCTAAACGGTGCTAAAACCACAGAGATTGCGAGGTTTGGAGAGGTGCAAGAGCTGAAGCCCATGCCCCAAACACGAAATCCGAAATCCTCAACCCACGGTATAGGGGTTTAGGGTTTAGGGCCTCAACCCTAAACCCGAGTCTGAGGGCCTAGACCGCATCCTCCAACACCTTCGAAAACCCATGTCGAATCATATACAGGTCATAACAATCCCGTAAACCAGAAACCGCGGCACCAAACCCTAGAAAATGTTGGGACACGACCATTCGCTATAGGGTACTACCCCCCAGACAATGGGTCAATAGGTAGCTAGAGGCACAGCTATGCCATTAACCCTATACCCTGTTCAAGCCCCTGTCGAACCCGAAACCTAAACCTTAAACCCCTGAAACCCTAAACCCCTCAACCCCCAACCCTAAACCTTAACCAGAGGGCACCCATTGAAGCCCAGTCAATATGAACCGTACTTGAGCCCTAAAGCCCGAATCCCCACTTGCAAAGGGTTTAGGGGGTTTAGGGTTTAGGGGTTCAGGGGTTTAGGGGTTTAGGCTTTAGAGATTCGGGGTTTAGGGTAAGGAGCCCCAACTCTTGGGGACCACACGCCGTTTGCCAGTTGAAACCCGTCGGTTGCTTGCAAACCTCCTTGATCACTTCGCAGCCTGCTAAAGGTTCAGCTTCGGATTCAGGAGTTGCAGGGATGCAAAAGGACCCTAAACCCTAAACTCTCCAAACCTTAACTAACCTTAAACCCTATAGAGCCTAAACGTTAGACCCTAAACCCTCAAAAAGGGAACTACAAGAGGCTTTATAAAATAAGGTTGGAGGCCCTCGAGCGTAG